TTTGATTGATGTCTTCAACCCTTTTTTCAACAGCGTCAAATCTTTCCAGATGGAGTGCCTGAGAGGATTTTATCGTCTCCACATCCTTTTGTATCTTGTCATTCGAAGTAGTTAATGCTTTAACTGCCTCTAAAATTTGTTGCAACTTCGCACTGTCCTTCTCATCTCTCGATATGACCACTAAATGTAGAACTATAGCATAGATACACTTTAATCCACACTCAAAACCACACCGAAAGGAAGAAAATGAATCATTAAAACGAAAGATTTCTTTATACGAAAAAGAATTCACTAGTAAGACTTCCGAAAGTTATTCGAGTCCGAGCAACCCAAAACACGTCTGACTCAGACGACTGACAAAGCGCACGCTACGTGAAAACGAATGCTAACTTCTTGATGGCATTTAAACTTGCAAAATGCCTAACTTAGAAAAGTGCTTAACATCATTTAGTTACAGTTAAGATATTAAATTATATTTTCTAATCAAATGCAATTTATAAAATATTATTAATTATATGCTTTATGATTATTATCATGAATCATCCCAGGTGAATTTTCAAAAAAAGTGTAAGTATATTTTTATTAAAAACGCGTTTTTTATTGTTCTGAATCATTGTAAACATTAATTTTTTGGTGATAAAAAAATATTTGACTTTTGGACTTAGAAAATTTTGCTATTCGATCATGTGGGCGATCCATGCGGGGCCCCTACGTTGGCCCTCGCCGGGGGCCTCGAAGTCAAGATCGTGGCTTTTTTCACATGGGAATAAAAAGAAATATTGAGTAGTCCATACAAAAATTAAATATTTTAAAATGAAATTGAAAATTTAAAAAAAATAAATACATTTTCATAAATATAAAAAAAAACTAATGTAACAAAGTACACTTAAAAAAAATTTTATTTGATTCAAATACTCGATTACTTGACTATTATCAAATAAATATTTATTTGTGTCAAATGATTATTATTTGAGTCAATTAAGTGGTATTTGTTTCAAATACAATTTATTTAATTCAAATAAAACTTATTTCGTTCAAGTAAATATTTATTTAATAATAGACAAGTAATTCAGTATTTGAATGAAATGCATTTTTTTCAGTGTACTGACACTTATTAAATTAATTATAAAATATGTGCAAATTTACCAAAAGCTATAAAATAGAAATGAAAATTCATTAGCCCTCGCCATATCTACATCCTCATGGTAATCATACTTTTTTGATCCATGCTCACTTTTACATCCAAAAAAGAACATTAGGTCAAAATTATTTAAGTTTTTGGAATTTTACTATATACCAAATTTTGGATTTTTTATAAAATTTACTTTCAATTTTTTTGTTTTTTGTCACATTTGCATTGGAAATCGTCTTTTACACCGGAAACCGACTATTCCGAAGCCTCTGAGGGGTTAAGTCATGTGCAGTATACCTTCTGCAATCAAACGAATCAAAACTGCGTTAAAAAATTTTACTTTTTGGGGGTTTAACATAGAATTTTCATGACTTTTTAAAAAAAAATTTCGATTATGGTCACTTTTACCCCGGAAACCGACTTTTCCGAAGCCTCTAATGGGTTAAGCCATGTGAAGAATATCTCCTGCAATCAAAAGAAGCAAAAATGCTTTGAAAAATTTTACTTTTTGGGGTTGTAACAAAGAATATTTAGGATTTAAAAAAAAAATTTTCGTTTATGGTCCTTTTTACCCCGGAAACTGACTTTTCCGAAGCCTCTAATGGGTTAAGCCATGTGCAGAATATCTCCTGCAACCAAAAGAAGCAAAAATGCTTTGAAAAATTTTACTTTTTGGGGTTGTAACAAAGGATATTTAGGATTTAAAAAAAAAATTTTTGTTTATGGTCACTTTTACCCCGGAAACCGACTTTTCTGAAGCGTTATAGGGGTTTTAGCTTATGCAGTATTACTTGTAAAAGACAAAGGAGCAAAACTGCATCCAAAAAATTTTACTTTCTGGGGTTTTAACAAAGAATTTTCAGGATTTTTTTTTAATTTTTTCGTTTTTGATCACTTTTACTCCTGAAACCAACTTTTCCGAAGCCTCTGTTGGGTTGGAACGTGTGCAGTATACCTTCTGCAATCGAAAGAAACAAAACAGAGTTGAAAAAATTTTACCTTTTATAGTCTTAACAAAGAATTTTTATGATTTTTTTTTAATTTTTTCGTTTTTGATCACTTTTACCCCTGAAACCGTCCTTTCCGATGCCTCTGATGGGTTAAGCAATAAGCAGTATATCTTCTGCAATCAAAAGATCCAAAACAGCGTTGGAAGAATTTTACTGTTTGGGGTTTTAACAAAGAAATTTCAGGAGTTTTTTTTTAATTTTTCCGATTTTGATCACTTTTACCCTGGACACCGACTTTTCCGAAGCGTTTTAGGGGTTTTAGCTTATGCAGTATATTTTCTGCAATCAAAAGAAGAAAAACTGCGTCGAAAAAATTTTACTTTTTGGGGTTTTAACAAAGAATTTTCAGGATTTTTCTTAATTTTTTCGTGTTTGATCACTTTTACACTGCAAACCGACTTTTCCGAAGCGTTTTATCGGTTTTAGCTGATGCAGTATATCTTCTGCAATCAAAAGAAGCAAAACTGCATTAAAAAAATTTTACTTTTTGGGATTTTAACAAAGAAATTTCAGGATTTTTTTTTAATTTTTTCGTTTTTGATCACTTTTACCCCTGAAACCGACCTTTCCGATGCCTCTGATGGGTTAAGCAATATGCAGTATATCTTCTGCAATCAAAAGAAATAAAACTGCGTTAAAAAAATTTTACTTTTTGGGGTTTTTTGCTCATTTTTATAAATTTTTTTCGTTTTTGGTCATTTTTACCCCTGAAAGATTAATTTCCGAAACCCCTAGGGGGTTGAAAATTTATTTACATGCTATTGGAATCGTACTGAAGCTATCCCTAATGAGACATTTTTTCTTTTGTTATTTTTTAATTTTTCGTTTTTGAAAACGTTGCGGACTTCAGCCTCTATTAATTATTTGTATTAACTCGAAATTAATTTTTTATGTGATTTTTCATCTGCAAAATCATTCATAATATTACTGTTATCAGTTCTTTTTACTTGCTCCGAATCGATGAAGACAAGAGCTAAATAGTTTAACTTTTCATGATATAATGATGATCTTTGAAAAGTTTTAACTATTCTCAAGCAAGAAAAACTTCTTTTTCCAGAACAATTTCTTGCCGGAATGCGCAAGCACTTTATTACCTTATCTGTCGTCTTTATTCCCTCTGACTACCTAACCAGCAAACTTCGAGTTCCGATCCACTTTACACTATCAATAAAACGTGTTTTTCGAACATGTATAGTATAAAAAAATAAATATGATAACAAAAATCAAAGGTCAAATTAAAAAAACAAAAATAAAGAAAATAAAAAATAATCAGCCGACAAGTATATGACACTCTTAAGTATTGTTCCATAACCCGAAAGACATCATCCAATAAATTTTATGCTGTAACTTTAAAAAATATCTTTGTCTATAAAAACTTGCCACCCCTTAAATGTTGCACCCTAGGACCGGACCTAGCCGATCTACTGCTATATCAAGTACTGATTTTTAATTTATAAAATTTATAAATTACTTTTATTTTCTATAACAAGTTTTGAAAAATTGTCTCAAAATCTACTTTAAAAAAAAGTTCTGTTTAAGAAGCACAACTTCTAATGGTGCATAATGTTAACTAATAGAACTTTTTACTAAAAATTGTAACATCCTTGTAAATTCTTAATATTATACATTTGTTTAATGATTTACCCTATTTTTCCGTTATTCAGTCGGCACAGATCTATGCTTTTGAAAAAGCTTTACCCATTCATGTCGTTTATCTTTAAAGTTATACAATTGAATTGCTGGAAACAATAAGGGGATAAATATTAATAAATTTACTTCGAATTTAATATTTAAACGCCTTTCGGTCCATAGAAGGCAACAACATAATGAAAAATTAAAAAAAATTAAAGTTTCTAGTTTCTAGTTAAACAACTTCCAGTGAGACATTTATTCATTACTATTTGAGGAAGTTTTCTGTAAATTTTCATAACGATTCCTCAATTATTTATTGAAATATGTTAAGTTTTTAAAATTGGCGGGCGCACCGAACGTTCGCGTTTCCGAGTCTCAAGTGATACTTGGTCACTGGCTTGACGAAAAATGCTTCTTTTTATAGTAAATCTTAAAAAAAATTATATATATATATATATATTAATAAATAATTATAATTAGTTAATTATTATTTTATCAATGTTTTGTTTAAAAAATTTTAAACAGTTTATTACTGTTGTATTGTTTATGTTAAAAATTAAAAATATTTCACATCTAAACTTTTTTGAATAAAATAAAAAAGGTCAATAAATATTTTAAAACATCTGACATATAATTTAAGATGTATGGTTAAAATTCTAAAAATTATAAATACGAATTTAATTGTTATAAAATATCCTTCCAAGCGTCAAATAATGTAAATTTATTGCAAAATATAAAACATACGTGTTTTACTATAAGAGAATGTGTGTAAAATTAATTTCCTATAAAAAGAAGCATATTTTGTCAAGCCAGTGACCAAGTGTCACTTGAGACTCGGAAATGCGAACGTTCGTTGCGCCCACCAATTTTTAAAACTTAACATATTTCAATAAATAATTGAGGAATCGTTATGAAAATTTACAGAAAACTTCCTTAAATAGTAATGAATAAATGTCTCACTGGAAGTTTGTTCAACTAGAAACTTCCCCACAGACTTTTTGACGGCAAAGATACGGGAGGGTGATTATCGACGATTATTTTTCATTATGTTGTTGCCTTCTATGGACCAAAAGGCGTTTAAATACTAAATTCCGAGTATATTCATTAATATTTATCGAAGATACAATGGTTATGACATATTATATAATATATTATATATAATATAATTATATTATATAACGTCCTACATAAAAAATTTCAATATTTTACTGATATTTTTTTACTAGGTTACGCCTTGGAAAGCTTTAATTGTGGAATTAAGATTTGCTGTAAATATATGGACCGAATCAAAGCCAGTAAAAATTACACAAAAAAACTCTTCAACATCAAGTGAGGAAAATGATGGGTTCAAAAGAGCAACATCGACCGCCCGTTCACTAATGGGATCTTTCTTGAGAATAGATGTAATGGACAAACTTGATAAAGAAAATAGAACCTACGATAAGAAGATCTGTAATAGTAGCGTTAAGTAATATCTCTGATGCTTTCAATAAATAAACTTTTGTAACCGGTACAAAATTAACGAAGAAGTAATTTAAAAATGAATACAAAAATTCTTAGACTCAGTGCGGTAATTATTTATAGAAATATATTGATATTAGATAGTTTATTAAAATTATGTAATACTAGAAATAATCTTTACGTGCTACGCGCGCCCTGAACTTTAACTAGGTTTATTCATTACAGAAATTTAATTTAATTTGCTACCACAACAACCATACAATGACAACAAGTAACATTCCCTTATAGCTTTGGAAAGCTTATTAAATTTTGAAAAAAATGATACCTATTTGAATGAGATTGCTTAAATAGGTTTAAATATATCATGTTACAAAGTTGAAAAAATAATTGTAATTTTTTGCTTATTACCTACCTTGACTTTAACCTCTTGCATGGTCCAGGAAAATCGACGAAAAAAATTGTCCTTTAACATAATTATTCCTTGAAATCTAAGCTTTCCATTGATTCCAAGAACAATAAAAAATGTTGACGGGTTTGCCAGTAATTGAAAAAAAGGACGAGCGTGCACGAAAAAAAATTCGACCGTCAATCGCTCCATTTTCCCGTCTCGCTGCCTCTTTCGTTCGTGCGCCAGGGACGAAACAGGATTTTTATTAGGCGCTTTCCGGGCACCATTAATTTCATTATTTTTGCCTTTTTGTGAACATAAATTATTTGTATAACGCGAAAGATATCATAATTGTGTTATAAGTTAATTATACAGTTATTAAAATTAAATAAATGTAATAAAACTTATATATTTCATTCTTAAAAAATTCAATTTGAAAAAAAATTAAAAAATATTTATAATCATTAAACAATTTATTATTAAGAATCAAAAACCTCGTTGGTGAAATTGAATTTTTTAATGATGAAATATATAAGTTTTCTTACATTTATTTAATTTTAATAACTGTATAATTAACTTATAACACAATTATGATATCTTTCGCGTTATACAAATAATTTATGTTCACAAAAAGGCAAAAATAATGAAATTAATGGTGCCCGGAAAGCGCCTAATAAAAATCCTCTGTTTCGGCCCTGGCGCACGAACGAAAGAGGCAGCGAGACCGGAAAATGGAGCGATTGACGGTCGAATTTTTTTTCGTGCACGCTCGTCCTTTTTTTCAATTACTGGCAAACCCGTCAACATTTTTTATTGTTCTTGGAATCAATGGAAAGCTTAGATTTCAAGGAATAATTATGTTAAAGGACAATTTTTTTCGTCGATTTTCCTGGACCATGCAAGAGGTTAAAGTCAAGGTAGGTAATAAGCAAAAAATTACAATTATTTTTTCAACTTTGTAACATGATATATTTAAACCTATTTAAGCAATCTCATTCAAATAGGTATAATTTTTTTCAAAATTTAATAAGCTTTCCAACGCTATAAGGGAAAAGTCTCTACGTTAATTTCTCTCAGAGTTATCTTTATTTTCACGCGAGTATGTTTTTCAATAACTCGCGGTGTAAGCGTTCGCACAAGTTCGGACGGTAGTGTAGATGAAGCTGATTTTTTGAAATTATTTTGAAGGGATGCATCGCATTATTACGAAGAATTATTTTTTACCATACCTCGTAAATGCCAGCCTAGTTACAACTCGTTACAATGTGTACCTTTAGTATGTAAGAATTCTGTACAAAAATTGATTTCGTTCATTTTGAAAATAAAAAAATAAATAATTTTATTTTGCGTTAAAGACAAAAAATTTGTTATTGAATGATAGTTATGGTTATAAACCACTCAAAATGTGCTTTATGTGTTCTTACAATTATAGGAAAGTATTTTAACTGTTTCTAAAATTTCCTTGTAGACATAATATTTTATATAATTGTTACTCCTATCACCAGCTTAGTAAACTTTTACCGACCCAGTAAAAAAATATTTGGAAGTAAGCGAAAAGAATTGGTGGTACTCTCTAAATCTGAATTAGTAAAAATGTTTACTAATTTCAATTAGTGACTCACTTTTTGCTTCTGAATTAGTTAAATTTTACTAATTGATAGTAAAAGTTACTAATAATTAGTTAAATTTTACTAATTGATAGTAAAAGTTACTAATAATTAGTAAAATTTTACTAATTCAGAAGCAAAAAGTGAGTCACTAATTCAAATTAGTAAACATTTTTACTAATTCAGATTTAGAGAGTAACTTAAGCTGAATTCGGTTTAGCGAAAAAACCGAATTGGAACGTTAAGGTGAATTATTTTTTTCTTACCGTAAATTCTTTTCTCTTGAACATTTGAATTGACGTTTGTTTATTCGAGTTTGCATCATAAATGAATAGAATAAATGTTTTAAAGTGTTAAAAAGCCTATTTGGATTAAGAAATACATCATTTTTTAAAGAGAAATAGAAGCGAAGAGTGACAGATTCTCCGACAATTTATCATATGAACACTACACACTTGATAAATTTACTATATGAGTACTACTCACATGATAAAATTGTCGGTAAATCTGTCACATTTCTCTTTTATTTCTTTTTAAAAAATTATATATTTCTTAATCCAAATCGGCTTTTTAACACTTCGAAACATTTATTCTATTCATTTATAATGCAAACTAGAATAAACAAACGTCAATTAGAATGTTTAAGAGAAAAGAATTCACGGTAAGAAAAAAATAATTCACCATAACGTTCCAATTCGGTTTTTTCGCCAAACCGAATTCAGCTCAAGTTACCACCAATTCTTTTCTTTAAACCATTAAAAATGGCACTTTTTAAATTGTTAAATAACTTTGTTAATAATAATCCGATTGGAGTGAAACTTTATGAAAATGTGCTTTTCGCGATACTGAACAAAATGAAAAAACTTCGAATCCAATTGGATGAATAGTTTATAAATTACTCCATTAGTCAATTAAAAACATGTTATTTTTCAACTTAATTTCTACAGAACGATATGGAGAAAATTCAATTTTTCTGCTTTTATTTTACTCTTGAAGAGTGATAATATAATGTACATAAAAAAATAATAAAGCTTCATTATTTAATTGCATAATTATGGATAAAGAAAAAATGGTACTACAGGGTGAGCTTAAATAAATTACTATGAAAGATTAAAACAACTTATATTTTCTTTCTGGATTGTATTCTAGAACAAAAAAGAAGATATTCGGAGCAAAAATCAAAATTATTCATAGAGCCCTTTTTGAAAAATTTAATTTTTTCTTTAAAATCGCGTAATTTATTGCTTTAAAATGTTTTAATGCAAATAATTATCATATGAACGCAATGAATATGTTAGGCTCAAAGACCGAAAACGCTCATTGAGCAAAAAAATCGACCACAACGCGTTGTGGCCGTTTCAATTCAGCCACAACGCGAAATTCGTGTTGTGGCATGACCAAAAATGCACAGAACGCGTTGTGGCAATTCAAAAAGGGCCACAAAGCGAAATTCGTGTTGTGTCTCTTTTAATAATCGACCACAACGCGTTGTGGCAATCAAGAAATGCCACAACGCGTTGTAAATAAAAATTTGCTCTCTCATCGTCTAATAGAAATGAGAATAGAATTTTTGTCGTTTGTAAACAAGGTAATCCTTAATTACCTATCTCACACTTTCATACTTAATTAATAGAATAGTATTAATAACGTTATTATACATATATACGTAGATTTGTTTGAAAATATTTTTAGTTTGAATTTAACACTAGACAAGTTAGTTCTGTGACTATCTTTAATTGACCAAACTGTGTAAGATTTTAACGGTAAGTTTTATATTTCTTATAAAATTAACATTACCATTACCAAAAATTGATTAAAAAAATTAGACATCTCTAGTTATGGAAGCCGAACTTAAAAAAAAATATGCCAACGTTACTCGACAAATCATAAACGTGTACTTGAGTTTATGCGAACAATGCCAGTTGAAAAAAAGTCTTAATAATGTAATGTGCAATTCAAAATGTCATAATAATAGCTCATGTAAAAATAAATAATTGTCATCATGAATAAAGTTCATCAATAAGCAAAAAAAAAATTGTATCATTTACTACTACAACGCGTAGTAGTTTAATATTAAAAGAGGCAGAACGCATTGTGGCATGTCTTAATTAGCACAACACGTTGTGGTTTAATATGAAAAGAGCCAATACGCGTTGTGGCATTTCTTGATTGCCACAACGCGTTTTGGTCGATTATTAAAAGAGCCACAACACGAATTTTGCTTTGTGACCCTTTTTGAATTGCCATAACGCGTTCTGTGCATTTTTGGTTATGCCACAACACGAATTTCGCGTTGTGGCTGAATTGAAACGGCCACAACGCGTTGTGGTCGATTTTTTCGCTCAATGATCGTTTTCGGTCTTTGAGCCTAACAAATATATACATACAGTACCGTCAGAAATTGTCGGTACGCCTGACGTGAGAGGAGTGGAAATTTGATCCTAATGTTTCTGACTTCCGGCATAATCTAGAATAATGTATGGAAGAATTTGACTATTTTAGAACGTAATTTTTAAGGTCTTACCTTTAATTTGCAATTTTGAAACTTAAAAAATGTTATGTGGCTCCTGAAATATGTTAAAAAAGGTCCAAATATGTTTTTCTACAACTCACCCGTTGATCATCACTTTTCGCCGCCTTGCAGCGTGGTTGTAGAAAAAGAGGTTCGAACATTTTTAGCATATTTCAGAAACCAAAGAACATTTTTTAAGTTTCAAAAAATCAATTAAACGCTAAGATCTTAAAGATTGTGTTAAAAATTTAAAAACTTAAAAAATTTCTGAAATATGTTAAAAAATTTTCGAGCATGTTTTTAAACAACCACGCAGCGAGGGAGCGAAAAGTAATGATCGACGGCTGAGTTGTAGAAAAACAGGTTTATACTTTTTTTAACATATTTAAGGAGCCACAAAACATTTTTTAAATTTCAAAAATACAAATTAGAGCTATGACATTGTAACAGCCCTGACGTGACGGAAAGTACAATCTACACAGGCGCAATATTTGATGAAGATTCTCCGTGTGCAGCTACACTCGTGGTAAAGTGCGAGAGAAAGAACGTTCGCAAGCATAGCGGAGAACAATGGCCATTAGAAAACGATGGACTTACGGCTATAGCTGGCTCTCTGCAATAAAATTAATCCAACCTGACACTCTGTACAAAACACAGTCATTCAAGAGTCAAAATTGATTAGACAATGCGAATAAATAGTAGAAAACAATGTTTTATTATAACTCTTCAATTACACAAAATAATTTTCGCAATGACGCGATTAACACTGTTGTCGCGTGGTTCGGTGCGTAGCTCGCGGCAATCTTCTGGTCAGCGTCGCTTTTGCTTAGCACGCGGTTTTGTCGTCTGCTCGACAGTTGCGAGAAGTATCGCATCGATACGCATCTATCGCGAGATCGACAAAAAAATTTTGGTTCTGACCTGGAGGTCTCACTATGTCTACAATATGTTTTTGGGGTCGTTGAATCCGAATTCGAAGGGTTTTGACATAACCCCAAAAAACCAATATGGAGGACACCTTTTGGAAAAATTCATCGGATTCGCTTGCAACATGTTACTCGGGGGATTTTTAGGTCGCTGAT